GGATGCCCATGAGTACTGTGACACTTTTAGAAAAAGTTATTTAAAACTAAGTTGTAAAGCAAAGTCCATGATTTCGTGCCCCGAGTCCCATGCTTACAACCCGAGAGCCCACACTTCTATGCACCCTGCACGGCCCATTGTCCCCTGTCCCCAGTGCATTATTATAAAGAGCCCGTGCCCCAGAAATGTGTGTCGAGTCCGTCCCGCCACAAGGGGTCAGTATTTCCACAAGCACTGCCACCATCCTGGCCCCGAAAAGCTAAAATTCGCCGTCTCTGAAGCACTCCCAAATCGAGAGCAGAAAAAGCACATGCCGAGGGCTGAGCGACGGTTGCGATCTGGAACTGACTTTGCTCACGAGTCAGTTTGGGAGAGAGATTTTCAAAGCATCGCTTGTACCTTCCACACGTGTCATGGTCAGAATTATAAAATACATTGTAAATACGCAGGTGGGGCGTTTTCCAGGTGGAGTGGGAGAGCCACGTGGCGTGCCCGCAGCCCACCACGGAGTTCTTGCTCCTTTGTGTTCTCCTGAGCGTTTCCTGTGGCTTTTCCATTTAGCATCATGTCAGTGGCAACTTGCTCTGCTCCAGCACGGTCCCTCCATCATTTTGTAAAAGGTGGTGTGATGGTCCGTGAAGAGGGAAGAGTGTGGCTTTTGTGTCTGCTTCCTTGAAACTGGATTCTGACCTGAGCGGGTACCACCCCGTGGAGGTGGGTTTGTGAGCATCACCCCCAGGTCTCCCGCGGGGGTTACGGGACATTGAACGGCCACCAGGCGCAGGGTGCCTCGCTCAGTCCTGTTCCTGTGGCTTCTTTTCTCTGGGATCATAAATAATGTGGGGACCATCTTTGCCACTGAAGCCCATTTTCATTTGGAGGATTTTCCTTCTAGAAGAGATTTGCAAAGGTGTTCGGGAATCAGAGGGTCTGAGACAGTTCAGGGCCTTTCAGGACAATAAATGTGACCACATTGCTTCCCTGAAGCCTTGTGCCAACAGCGACAGATGACACACTTACCACAGCCAGTCAGTTTCTCATTCCAAAACCAGTGTCTTGCATGTGAAACTTGTATCAAAGACTGGAAAGGGGACAGACCCTCAAATGCAATTTAGAAAAATGACCCTGAACTCTTTGCATACCTGTTTGCCCATTAAAAGTAATTTTTTTTCTAAGCTTTCCTATCACATGCTATCCAATGCGAATCTGGAAACTATGAGAGGCAGGTTTTGTTATTAAAGCTTCAATGATTTTTTCCCCCCAAACATTGCATTCTTAGAATGGGAACAAAACAATTTAACTAGAATCTGAAAAGTTGGCTGGAATATTTGGTTCTCAAAGGGAAAAGGAGGGGGAGGGTATAGCTCAACTGGTAGAGCGCATGCTTAGCATGCTTGAGGTCCTGGGTCCAATTCCTAGTACCTCCACTAGAAGAATAAATAAACCTAATTACCTTCCCCCTTGAAAAAAGTAAATAAAATAAAAATAAATAAATATATTTAAAAAAAAAAAGAGGACCGTAGATTTTTAACCGCTTGGCTGAGAATTTAACATTTGTAGCGATGAGTGGTTAAAAAAAAAGAAAAAGAAAAGCCCGTTTCAGAGTACTGATTTTCATAATTTCCTTTAAAAGGGGAGTATGTGTTTTTTCCTAATGTCTGCATCTCCTTTGTGACCGTCGCCCGCTCTTTGATGCACCAGCTCAGGACGGTAGGACCCCACTTGCCTGCACACGGGTTGGTGGAGTAAGTGGCGTTTAAGATGCTTTTGAAACCGGGCAGCGGAGAGAAACAGACCTCCACCCCCACCACCACCACATCCCTCCACGCCCTTCCCCGTCTCGGGAAATGCAGCCCCGTCACCACGGTGACTCAGCCCCAGCTCGGGGTCCCCTTGGCCTCCTCGGCTTCCCGCACTCCATCTGCAGTCCCCCTCTGATCCTGTTGGCCGCCTTCAGAGCACGTGCAGAATCGCACCGCTCCCGAGGCCTCCCGGCCTCCCCGCCTCCAGCATCGCCCGCGGCCTCCCCTCTG